TATCTCATACGTGAGACATCATGCAAAAAGGTATATATTTCATAGGTTAATTACCCTTAAAAGTGAATGAAATGAAAAAAATTTAATATTGGCGCTATTAAACTTACTCGTATAAACAATTTAGAACACAGTGTTTTCATGTATTTTCATGAGCGACAAAAATTAACCCAGGCAAGTCCACCTTCGACCAAGTAGTCAAGCGCCGAATAAAACTCTATTGTGAAGTCCAATAAACCTCAAAATCTCAAAAGAAGTGTGCACCAGTGCGTGTTGCCAGCAATGACCTATGGAACCGAGACATGGTTCTTTACTTATGGATGCATGAGAAAGCTTAAAGTCGTTCTTCAAATAATGGAGAGGGCTGTGCTCGGAGTTACTTTGCGTAACAGAACCCGTATTGAACATATCCGCAGCAGAACCAGGGAACAGAGAGAGAAGACAATAAAGAAAGCGCAATGGGTCGGCAAAAGCTCTAAGAACCGACACCCTATGGATAAGAAAGGTTATCGAGTGGCAGTCTCCTGGTAAGCCGAGCGAAGTGACCAGCGAGTGAGTGGACGACCGACCAGGAAAACATGTAGGATGTTGATGTATTTGTATTTGTTTAGTTGGCTCAAGACCGTGACAGTGGCTAGGGGAGTACATTGTTCAACTGCGGACTTGTGACGGGTTATAAATAATAGAGATCCAAATACAATTAATGGAAAATATTTATTCGTCACCTCGCCTCGCAAAATTGATCTTGCCACACAAAATCTATTCCGCCCCTGACAGAAGTATTAACCTTTGCATTTTCATAACAAATTGACTTCCCTGCAATGAAATCTGATAAATATTTCACTTTGGTCCAAAGTGGCGCCGCCATGGCGGTGGAAAAAGTCGAGGATGTCCTCGTAATTCACCTGTGAGACATTTTATGGGAAAAGCCTTTGACTTTTGATAGCCTGTAATTAATGAATGAATAGTATACTAAATACTGCTGTCTGTTGAAGACCATAATATGGATATCTTTCTGGTTTTCGAGGTAAGCTGTAAATAAATATGGGCCACAGGATCCATTTTCTTTAGAGAAGAGGGGACTAACGAGCATGCAGCTCACCTGATGGTAAGTCTCGACCGCCGCCCATGAGCAACTGCAACACCAGGGGAATTGCAGGTGCTTTGTCAGCTTTTTAAAAGAAAGTAAGCTCATTTCTTGAGGGTCCTTAAGTTGTATCGGTCCAGAAGAATCGCCGATGGTAGTCGTGACAGGAAGAAAACTCCTAATAAATCGCACAGTACTGGAACGCCAAGCATCCAGATGATGTGGATGATAACATAAGTTTTGTCACGATACACGATGGTGAAATTTTGCAACTGGAATTAATCCGAACTATTCCTCAGAGCACTCGCCGAGGTAAATGCGATAGAAAAGGCAAAGGGATGCAACGTCTCTTCCCAGCGCTTGTGAATCTAGCCGATCGGAGAGAACTCGGCCGTCGAAGATTCGAGCCACACTGCGCTGGATGCAATATTGGCTGATACAACAAGGGGAATGCCCTGAAACTCAGAAGATACAACAAAGGCTCGTCGGATGATCCCAACGTTGTTGCTGATTCTGTCGCTGATGTATTTGTGGAATGTAATTTAGGGAATGTAACTTTTTACTCCATCATCTGTGGTGGTTATCCAATATAGAACTCAGCCATGGTTTGGTCACACCTGTAAAATTTCATAAATCATAAAGTTTTATTTGCAAGAATACACGGTATAAAAAGATGTTACAATTTCATTCATCACGCCATAGGTGGAGTGCTACCGGGCCTGTGGTCAAGGATCAACATCTCGGGATGCAAATACCAGCGCTTTTAAAAAGGAGTTCGAATTCCTCCTTCAGATTCTTCAAAAACCTCACTGCCAAGGTAAAATCAGAACACTTGCCAAAGCTGTCCAAAGGAACTTCTGTCAGCCATCTCTCTCATCTCTACATTAAGACAACAACTCACTGGCCCATGCCGCAAAGGAGAAAGTCGATCTGATAGGCCCTCTCTTTGTGTCTAAATCAATGACGGGGAAACATGCTGCCGACTATCCCGCAGTGTGAGTGCTCCATGCAGGATGCTGTTTACACAGCGCTCGGTGCACAAAGTACTCCCCACCCTGAACATTAACAGGTAGAGTGGGCCTATTGTGCTGAAGGCATGTGTTCCTGAGTTGACACCGGTCCTCCTACCTAGGCGTAGTCCCGAATCATGTAGACCGCTTTGGTGCACCAGGTCTCTAAAAACGCCCAAACGTTAAGACCCTTCTAACTATAGGGCTATCACCATCACCTCGTTGTTCTCCAAAATAATGGAATCCATTAAAAACAGCCGGCTCATGAGGCACCTTGAGGATCACCAGTTAATTTGTGGTGGCCAAAATAATTTACGTCGAGATGGATCAGCTGGTGATCTCCTGATCTAAGTGACTCATAGATATGTAGAGTCCAAGAACATAATAGTAGACATAGCATAGTAGTAGACATTCGATTGGGTTTGACACAAATCGCTTCCTTCGAAGCTTTCTCCCTATGGGCTTCCCGAGAAATTATAATAATATGTTGCTAGCCGAAAATTCATAGCTATGCGGACAACTGCACCACTGTTGTTTTATACACCGGCCGTGCTAAAATTTCTCAAAAAAGCGTCGCCGAGTACCGTGTCTTAAGTGGAGTGTTTGTTGAAAAAAGTTTCAGATTGTGGACGGCTAAATCTAGTACAGTTCAATCTCCAGAAGACAAAAGTTTGCGCGTTTACCGTTATTTTTAACGGTAAACGCGCATTATTCCATTATTTTGGAGAACAAGGAGGTGATGGTGATAGGCCTGTAGTTAGAAGGGTCTTAACGTTTGGGCATTTTTGGAGACCTGGTGCACCAAAGCGGTCTACATGATTCGGGACTACGCCTAGGTAGGAGGACCGGTGTCAACTCAGGAATACATGCCTTCAGCACAATAGGCCCACTCTACCTGTTAATGTTCAGGGTGGGGAGTACTTTGTGCACCGAGCGCTGTGTAAACAGCATCCTGCATGGATTACTCGCACCGCGGGATGGTCGGCAGAGTGTTTCCCCCCGTCATCAAGTTAGACACAAAGAGAGGGCCTATCAGATCGACTTTCTCCTTTGCGGTATGGGCCAGTGAGTTGTTATCCTAATGTAGAGATGAGAGAGATGGCTGACAGAAGTTCCTTTGGACAGCTTTGCCAAGTTCCGATTTTGCCTTGGCAGTGAGGTTTTTGAAGGATCAGAAGGAGGAATTCGGACTCCTTTTTAAAAGCGCTGGTATTTGCATCCTGAGTTGTTGATCCTTGACCACAGGCCCGGTAGCACTCCACTTATGGCGTGATGAATGAAATTGTAACATCTTTTTATACCGTGGATTCTTGCAAATAAAAATTTATGATTTATGAAATTTTACAGGTGTGACCAACCCATGGCTGAGTTCCATATTGGATAGCCACCACAGATGATGGAGTAAAAAGTTTCATTCCCTAAAGTACATTCCACAAATACATCAGCGACAGAATCAGCAACAACGTTGGGATCATCCGACGAGAAGCTAGTGGGAAAGGGTAGGATGTCGGTAACCTGCAGACTTCGAACGCGATAGGAGCGTGAGTGGCAACGTACTCTTGATAAGATAGAGGTCCGAAGAGCCAAAACCTGCATCGACGGGGAACCTCGGTGTGCAGAATGTAAAAAAAGGACAACGATAGAAATTTTTATTGCAGTTTTGTGCGTTGTAAGAAAATCCGATTCATTTCCTACCCTCGGTGTCGTAAGAGGCGACAATGGGAAATTAAAAAAAACAATTACTTTTCTCGAGGCGTAAAATACTGCGACAAGTACATTGTGATCTGTTATCGACCTGCCCAGCGTAACAATTCGGATTAATGAAGGCCAGCTCCAAGAAAGGCCACCAAGAATGGTGCTGAGTCATAAGCATCTATAAGCTTCCTGCATCTCTTATCAGTTATTCACTCGATTAATTTGAATGTTCATTTTATGCAAATCCAAAACAACCCGATATCGTAAAAAATGGCTCAAATGGTATGCTAGGCAAGCGCAATGGCTACGGAGACCTAGAGAAGTTACTTACTTAAACGTTGCCTTTTTTTTTGTAAAATAAGAGTAATAAACGAGCACACAGTCCACCTGATGGTAAGTGGATGCTGAGGCTCAAAGACATCTACATTTATCCTCGAGAATCAAAATGCGTTGTCATCCCTGAGGAATTCTTAGTACTCAGGGATGACAACGCATTTTGACTTCTTCTTCTTTCTTCATAAGAAACAAAATAGCTTTAAGTTGCTATTTTACGCTGGTATTCTTCGAGATCGTGGTCCTACCCCGGTCGAGCCTACCCATTCATACTACAATTTATATAGATGCAGTTTAATCGTCAAGTATTTCTATTGAAATTTGCTAATACATTTACAAAAGTCATTATCTCCATCACAGCTATTCATAAATTTATTACTTCTCTCTGGTTCTTTTAATAAAAGTAAGGGAAAAAGTGAGCATAGAGTCAACCATATTGTGTGTAGATGCTGTATGGCATAGACATCTTTATTTTTCGATTATATTAGATTAGATTAGATTATTCTTGATTAAGAATGAAAATGCGGATACATTGCCATCCCTGATAACTATGATAAAATAATTCTCTACCAGTAAAAAGTCTAAGGTTCTCATTGCTCACCATCTAAATTCAGCAGCAATATTTTGCTATTTTGCATTATTATTTTGCAACACTTACCTATTCATTCCTCGGTCTTGCCGACTGTTAGCAAGTAACTCATGAGAGAAATCTATGACCAAAATGACATGTAACAGCATCAAAGATTCTATAGCTTGATTCAATATACCCATACATAGAAGCAAACAATAAAATAAAACCATTTATATTTATTATATAAAAATATTGTATTTGTCTGTAATAAAAAACTGCGGTTCCAAATCTAACAAACTAAATCTGTTTATGTTTTTTTAATCTTACGGGTACTGTTTTTGCTCACAGGAGTTGCATTTATAATTATTTCTTGGTTTTCTTCGAGGAATTTATTCAAAACTTCAAAGAACCCGCCAGAAAGAATTTCCAATAAGTTGTATTTGTAAATCTTTTTGTGAAACGCATAGAACTGAACAAAGGTGGCTTCCATAGCATAAGCAGATGGTTTGGCTTCAGAGGTAATCTCGAAATCAGTAAGCTCGCTTGTTCCATTTGAATAAATTACATAAAATGCATTATCTGAAAGAAAAACAGCACCGTCTTCTAGTACAGGAGGCTTTATTAGTTTAACAGATTTAGGATGTTCCGGCAAACCTGTAATTTTCTTCACACCGTTTTCGTTGACAACATATACTTGTTTATCTTCAGTATCAAAATATATATTGTTGGCCGTATCCAAAACTATTTCTTGAGCTCCTACTACGTCGTCTATTTTAACACTCTTTTGGCCGTTATCAGTGACTTTATACAATTCGTGATCTTTATTTAGATAATAGATTACGTCAGTAGCGTTTTCTTTAGCGATTGCAATAATATCATCAGTCACAGAGCCGTATTTGACTGCTTTGTTTTCTTTGTTATCATACACGTAAATACCGTCTTTTGCTCCAAAGAACACATCAGTGCTGTCATCGCTACTCGCAGCAGCGTCACGTCCATTTTCCAAAAGTTTTGTAGCCTCCCCATTCTTGTAAACGTATAGGCCTTTGTCCACTCTATTACCAGCCGCGTCGACATCAGCTTCAACGATGAACAATATAATATTCTTATCAAAGGTTTCCATATTTAATTCATCGTTGTCGTCGAAGTTCAAGGAGTTCGTTGGTACAAGAATGTTTACAACGTCATGTTTAGCGTTGTATACTATAAATTTTTTAAAATAAAAGTCTTCGGTAAGTGTAATTTTTTCGTCTTCATCACTTTCTTTAGAGACGGGATTGGCATTAATGGCACCAGCCAGAAGAAGAACAATAAGTAATTTCGAATGTTTCATTTTGGAATCTGAAAAAATAATTGTCACATATATAATAAATGCATTTTCATCAGTCCGCAAAGTCTCCATCTAGACATAAGCTTCTCACCACGTAAATCTGTCGTAATTAGTCATTTCGTGGTAGCAGATTATCGTTTACAATACATTACGCCCCTTTGACAATGCTTACTAGAGTAGTGGAATAAAATTATAACCTCTATACGTCCCATACGTTTTACGTTACGTTTGGGCCAGGTCTTCTCTCACTTCTGAGAGGATTATGCAGCAATTAGACCGCATTTTCTAGCAACCGCAGTTCCTCTTTATTGATATAAGGCGTTCCATCTTTTTCCTAAGGGTAACAAAGCATATGTATTTTGATTCTTAATTGTGGATACATATATATATTAGGAACTGTATCCACGACTGGTCGTCGCTGCTGGTGATAAGAGGGCTGGTTCTTTCCTCGCTCAAAGGCTAAGTATAGCTATTCAGCGAGGAAACGCAGCCAGCGTTCTTGGCACTATACCACGGGGAGCAGGTCTTTTTGACGATTTAAATTTTTAGTTTTAGATTTTCTATATTATAGTTTCTTCTTTTATATTGTAAATAATTAGGTTTAGACAAGATTAAAAGTACCATTATTAATATATATATATATATATATATATATATACAGTGTGTCCGGTCACAGACTAGATGTTAGAACAGTCCTCTGCGCCAAAGCGCTTTTACTCTGCGCCCTCCTTTCTGCCAAGGAGGGTCGCATTCGTATACGGCTTAGAGATCTCTAGTCAGATCGTTAAGCCATTTCCTAAAAGGCGGTGTTTAGTGGGTAAAAGTCTCCACATAACCACGCAGCCGGCTGCGTGGTATGCTATGAGCATTCACCGCCTCCCTCCCCCGCTTTCCGGAGGGTTGCCCATATTTGCTTCGGGCGCAAAAAAAAAATCACAGACTAGCGATATTTTAGGTACTTATAATACAGCTATTTTAATATAAAAATACACTACACACTGAGGTCTAATCCTCTCCCCCTCTATTTGGCAGCCATTTTGTTTTTCTCTTGAGTTATTCTCTACGCGTTTACGAAAAAAGTCATATCTCTCAAAATTTTAGTCCTACTGAGATAAAAATTAACTCATTCGGAGGCCAATAATATTGTTTATCGTTTACATTATCAAAATTTTTGTTGACATACTTGTAACTTTGAAGAAAAAAAATTTAACTACAAATAAATATAAAAAAATATGCTAATTGGCAAGTTATTGTAAATTACTGCAAAAACAACCCTGTTCACCCTTTTTATTTTTATACTAGATCGACAGATTTTGAGTTAAGCTACAATACAACAATAAGTTTACAGCTGTATCTTTATTACTTTAAGAATTATTGTTGTTTGAACATAGCATATGCGCAAACGCAAAAGGTCTTTGTTAAATGACAACTGGCATTGCCTGCCTAGGAGTAATAGTAATCTGAGATTACTTATGATCTTCGATGAATTAGAGATGATAAATGAGAGATCAGAGAATCAGAATCATCATTTATAAGTAGTATAATTTGAGAGCAGGCAGCACAGAACACTATTACTCCTAGGCAGGCAGTGCCAGTTGTCACTTAACAAAGACCTTTTGTGTTTGGGCATACGCCATGTTCAAACAACAATAATTCTTAAAGTAATAAAGATACAGCTGTAAATTTATAACTCAAAATCTGTCGATCTAGTATAAAAATAAAAAGGGTGAACGGGGTTGTTTTTGCAGTAATTTACAATAATTTGCCGATTAGCATATTTTTTTATATTTATTTGTAGTTAAATTTTTTTTCTTCAAAGTTACAAGTATGTCAACAAAAATTTTGATAATGTAAACGATAAACAATATTATTGGCCTCCGAATGAGTTAATTTTTATCTCAGTAGGACTAAAACTTTGAGAGATATGACTTTTTTTCGTGAACGCATAGAGAACATCTCAAGAGAAAAACAAAATGGCTGCCAAATAGAGGGGGGAGGGGATTAGACCTCAGTGTGTAGTGTATTTTTATATTAAAATAGCTGTATTATAAGTACCTAAAATATCGCTAGTCCGTGACCGGACACACTGTATATATATATATATATATATATATATATATATATTTTTTTTTTTGTGTGTGTGTGTGTGTGTGTGTGTGTGTGTGTGTGTGTGTGTGTCTGTATGTGTGTTATAGCATTCACTAGCTATCAGATGATCCCTGTGCCCGATTCCGTCATTTTTTTAAAATGAAACGAAAGCGATAGATGAGCAAAAAGCCCACCTATATAGTACATTTACATCTATCCTTCCCCCCCCCCTCCCCAACAAGCTTTCGGCCGACCTGAACTGCCTCCTGGCGGCTCAGGCCGAGCCTACATCTCATGATCTGCCTTAGTTAGGCACACTTCTAAGTGGCTATTCGCCGCTTGCGCCCTCCCTGCTGTCAAGGAGGGTCGCGTCCGTTTAAAGCTTATAGATCTCTCGTCAGATCGGTAAGCCAATCCCAAAGGGTGGTGTTTAGTGGGTAAAAGTCTCCACATAACCACGCTACCGGCTGCGTGGTATGCTATGAGCATTCTCCACCACCCTCCCCCGTTACCGGAGGGTTGCCATTATTTGCTTCGGGCGCAAAAAAAATCTATCCTCTATTAAGAAGCAAAATGAAGATGCGTCGTCACCCATGCTAAAATTTTACGACGGTAATTTGTGATGATAAATCGTTCTGATGTTACAGTCTATCAAATTTCCACTAACATAAACCATGCATAAGTCTCCTCTGCACATTTTATTTATTTATTACAGTTTGCATATCACAACAAATATTTTACATACTTAACTTACATAATATATAACACAATAAAGTGACGCCCTACAGAGGCATTACAATATAAGAAAGTAGTTTTTACTTACTAAATACAAACTAACATAATTTCTAACATTATTAGTTGTAATATATTATTTTCTAAATAGTTATGTACAAGCTGATAGCCACTCGCTTCACTGGGCATACGATAACAGACGATAATAACGTAGACCTCCGATGATGAACGAAGAGTATAAGAAAAATTCTTGATATTTTATGTCAAGAATTTTTTATGGGACTATCGTAAAATCCGTTCTTAGTGAATCTACATTGCGAAGTGAGTAACCATACTAAATTTGAAGTCGAACGGGTGTATTTTTTTTTAATAGGATAGGGTGACAAACGAGCACACAGTCCACCTGATGGTAAGTGGTTGCTGTGGCCCATAGACATCTACATCTATCCTCGATTACGAATCAAAATGCAGATGCGTTGTCACCCGTGAGGACAAAGATGGAATGCCTCGTTTCCAGTAAAAAGGGTCTCCGGTTCTTTACACTCACCATACGAAATACAGCAGCATTAAGCTACTATTTCAGGCTGGTATTCTGTGAGAGCGTGGTCCTTCTCCGGTCGAGCCGACCCATTCGTGCTACAACTATACTACTAATATAACTGCAGTATGGCTCTACCACGTAGAAAAATTATAGATTTAGTGATCTCGTGATGTTTCGTGAGTCATTCAGTGATATTTCGCTTATATACGAGTGTATCTATGTGAAATTATTTATTCACATCATTAAAGAATTTGTTTTAATTATAATATTTTTTATCAGTGATATATGTGAATGATTTTAATTTCTAAACACTTTACCGAAATTTAAACACTTTTAGAAATAATTATTTAACCTGTTATTTATTATTAATAATTTACTAAATATACCACACCTCAACATGCACACACCACATACACGTACAATACACAATTACACAACTAGGTGTTAGTTGTGTAATTGTGTAACAGATATTTTATATTTTATTTCAAAAATATTATATGTTTTAATATAAGTTTTACTATATAAGTGAAAAATTTATGTGTTACCCTAGTTCTAAACACAAATTAATATAAGTGAAAGACGGGAAAAGCGGAGCCTCTTAACACAAGTTTCCTAACTTAAAAGGAGTGTTCCAACAACGTATTTAATTTTAAATATTACTAGAGCGAAAATAAAGATTTTTGATTTGATTTGAATTTCTTAAAAAAAAAAAGATTTAGTATTGTTTATATTTCTTAAGGCTAGGAACGTTATATAATTTAATAACCATCGTATGGGAACCTGTTGTGGATAATTTTAATTTTGAAAATTGAATATTTAATTTCTTTTAAGTTTGATTTTTTCTTTTGAGAGTGTTAACAGGATTATTATATCATATCATAGATCATAGATTTTTATGTTTTCTAACCATTGATTTTGATTTTCGAACGACCTTTCTAAAAATAAAGAGTGTACCGTTAAAATAGTTTTCGTAAAAACAGACTAATGCGGAGTCAGTCATATTTGTTTCGATTCTAATATTTTTTTTTCCAATTTGAAAGTATTAGGGGAAAAATAACCTCAAATGGCTTAGCAAGATCCTCAGTTATGCCAAGAATATTGCAGCATTAATTTTGAAATAAATATATGGTAAAGTTGAGGATTAATGTTAAGTACTATTTTTAACGAAAACATGATTCCGTAAAATTTTCTCGATAGAAAAAAATCCAAAGTTACCTCCAAACTTAACAATAAACCGCTGTTATTCATAAAATACTTTAAATAAGATCATGAAACTTTGCATACTAACTGAACTAACTATAAATCAGGGCTTATGTTTTTTATTTTTTTAAATTACCATTATTTTCACTGTAAAAAGAAATTACCTAAACTATCGGCGTCCTGAAGCTTGTTTCCTGCCGCCCGGTTCCAAGCTTCAGGACGCCGATACAGTTGGCGGACAAATAAACTTTTTTTAATTTTAAAATTTCTTAATATCCTATATGAATTGATATTAAAAACAACCAGATACAATCAGTGTAACCAAAGAGATTTTTCTGCAATTTTATACAGACAAAATATAAAGAAACTTTTTCCCTGACCTAATAATCTGTCATTTACTCGGTCATATACATATAGTACAGTACAGTAGTGTCAGCAGTACAGGATAATATTTACTATCAATAATATCTAAAAAAAATTATATTAGTCAAAATAGTAGATTGGTTTTTCCGAAAACCATTTTAGGTACAATGAAATACTAGGCTGCACTAAAAGTATCGGGAATGGAATATTTCCACTGTTCCTGTCATATTAAAATCTTTTTCATTGAAAACTCCTTGGTTTTAAAAATCGAATACCATTTATTTATTTAAAAAAAGATTCTCGGTCTTGTCACAAGGTTTTGTCAAACTTGTTTAGTCGTTGAGAAAATGGAATTGACTCGATAAAATTCAAGAGCGATGTTTTATTATGACTTTCGAAGTGGTTTAACACAAAAAACAGTGTATTGACCGAATGATTTCTGCATTTGGTGATGAATCCCCATCCAAAACCACAATTTATCGCTGGTTTGCTGAATTTCAACGTGGACGTGTCAAGCTCAGTGAGTGGGGGGATCATCCCCGTCAAGGTCGTCCAAAAACTGCAGTCACCCAAGAAAACGTTGATGCTGTGCGTAAGCTGATTGAGGAAGATCGACATGTGACATACCGCGAAATTCAGGCAACTTTAGACATTGGAATGAGTCAAATATAAATAATCTTGCATGAACAATTAGGTGTAAAAAAGTTGTTTTCCCGATGGATACCGCATTCGCTCTGTGAAGAGCAAAAAGCGGCTCGCGTTACTTGGTGCGTCAGAACTCTCGAAAGATTCCACGCAGGATCCTCAAATGCTGTATACAACATCGTATTAAGTGACGAATCCTGGATATACATGTACGAACCCGAAACAAAAAACCAGTCACGAGTTTGGGTGTTCGAAAATGAGTTAAAGCCAACAAAAATTGTTCGTTCACGGAGTGTTGCAAAAAAAATGGTGGCCACGTTTGTCTCCAAAACCGGCCATGTTACGACTATTCCTCTTGAGAGATAAAGAACGGTTAATGCAGAATGGTATGCTAGCATTTGTTTGCCACAGGCCTTTTTTGAACTCCGTAAAGAGAACTGCAAACGCCGCATCATCCTCCATCACGACAATGCGAGTTCTCACACCGCACACAGAACAAAGGAGATTTTAGAGCAAGAAAACATAGAATTATTAGACCATCCGCCGTACAGCCCCGCCCTAAGCCCTAACGATTTCTACACTTTCCCTAAAATAAAGAATAAATTACGTGGACAGAGATTTTCATCACCTGAAAAATCTGTGGACGCCTACAACACGGCCATTTTGGAGACCCCAACTTCCAAATGGAATGGTTGCTTCAATGATTGGTTCCATCGTAATAAGTCAAATAACGTAACGTAAAATATGTCAAATTTCGCGGAGAATACTTCGAAAAGCAATAAATACATTTTTGAATAGTAATGTTGTGTCACTTCCTTGATTCCCGAAATTTTCAGTGCCGCCCTCGTATTATCTTAATATTTTATTACTCTCAAGAAAATAGTGAATTTTTTACTGTGACAACTACTAGTGACAAAAGTGCAATAGAACGACGTGCAACGGACAGGTTTCATCAAAACCCGTAACTTAAAAAAAACTCAGCATTTTAACCGGGCACCTTTACAAATATAAACAATGCCATTTACTCAAATATACACATGTAAAATAATTTAATTGCCAACTTAAACTTATTATAAGTAATTTATCGAAATGTACCTACATATCCCGTCGTCTTAGAAATTTCTGTCCATATTACCTATTATCTTAATATTATCCTATTGGAAATAAACAAAAAACGCAGTTAGTTGTTTACCAGTATTTTGTTTTTTACTTATTTTATGTTCATATTATTTATTAGTATGTCGCCCACGTACATATGGAATTCCGTATGTACCTATAATGTGGCAGGCTTAAGAGGACGACACGTTTTATAAATATGGCAACCAGGCATAAATTAATGAACAGAACACATTATAGCAATATAATTTAGGCACAACAACAGAATACGCGTAAAAATGACTTCTTAAATTTTCTTAAATTTTAGTTTTCATTTTGAAACTATTAAATGGTTTCTTATTTGTTCTAGCTACCGCCCACTGCTGAGATGTAGTGTCAGGGACAAGGTGATCGTAACACTATCAAACTCAGAAAGTACAAGAAGCTTTTTAAAACATGAAGATGCAAACCCGTGAATGTATAGAGTAGTGTTAAAACTGTGGCCAACTTACCTCTTTGAGATATATCTAGACAATGATAACTTCGATTCAATTCTTGGATTAAATAATAACCAAATATTTTTCTTTCGTTTAAGGCTCAGTACTCATTATTCAATACCTACTATTCCGCTAAATGATGTAGCACATTCTCTCACAAGGAAGTAATCCAAAATTATACAGTATAACATATGTGAAAGTGTCCATTAAAATAAATGCCGAGCGATTTTTGTTGTGCTATATGGGTAGAGGTCAAAATAATCGTACATGATTTTAAAAAATATGTGTCCTCGACCGTTTTCAGCTTATATAAAGATTAGTTCGGGTCATAACAAGTTATAACCAATTTTGTTTTAAAGGACAATTAATTTACAGGAAAACAAGCCATTTAGAACGCCATGTTGTCACTTCATTATGTTTTGGTTGAAAAAGTGCGCGCACAGAAAAAATTGTCCAAAATATTCCTGTGAAAAACTAGTGAGTGAGATAAATTCTAAAGTGAATTACGCGGGTCTGGATACACAGTCTGAAATAGTATGTTTTGGTGCTCATACAACACAGAGACATTGTTTTCAAGGTAAGATATTTGTTGTATGACGATGCATTTTAGAGGTTATAGTCCATATTTTTCCTTCCTGTGGATAACGTAACACGACTTAGGGCTAGTTCATACTGCTAATTGTTACTCACAGGATTTTATAGATTTGTGAGTAACACTTGGTAAAACAAATCAGTTTGTATAGTAACTGCACCTGCAATCAATAACGAGTTGTTCACTCCGAACGAAAACCTCATTCATCTTCCGAACCGCTTGGTTTTGTTCGTATTTTAACCGACTTCAAAAAAAGGAGGAATTTTAGAATTTATATTTTTATATAAAAACAAGAAAAACTCTCTGTCGGTTTTTGTTTATTTTTTTTATATATTTACATATATATGCATGAAATATACTGGCATCTATTTCTGGAATAATCAATTATTATTATTTTAAAATTTCATGGATTGGACTTTTTGGACGTATTTGTGCATTCATTAAAACTAATTGACTTTACATGCTTACTTTTAGATGGCGCCAATGTCGAATGCTGAGAGACAAAGAAAATACCGTGAAAAAATAAAACAAAATGCAGAAAAATACGAGGAGAAAAAGAAGAAGCATAGAGAATACATGAAAGCTGCTAGAAGACCAATTGCAGAACTGGCTGAAAAAGAAAAGGAAAAAAAGCGACGAGAATGGAGACTTGCCAAAAAAAAAGAAGGTGGTGTAACAAAACCAAAGAACAACAAGTGTTGTGCATTAAATGCACGATTATGTGAAAAATTGAAGAAGCGAATAACAGATCAAAAGAAAGTTATAGATAATATATTGCTGAAGAAACATGCTTTACAAAAAAACCTATATAGACATAAAATTAAAATTGAAGAGCTGCGCAAATTGATCTCAAATTCAGAACGAACGGAAAACAAATCTTTAATAAACTCATCAGAGAATAAAACCAACAGTGAATCTGTACCTACAGACATTAATGCACCAACTACCTCATCCGGACTGACCACAAATGACAAATCTGAAAATGAAGATTTACGTGAAAAAACTCCCATGTCTAAGACATTATCCTTTATAAATGAAAATATTCCATCCATATCCACTCCTGAAAAAAATAAAGTTAAAAAACAGATCCTACAGCTGAATGTGATCAGTGCTTCGTTACAGACATCGTATGAAAAACATAACAATAAATCAAAACAGATCCTAAAAGACATTGTTTCATCCGAAGCAATAGAAAAATATAATCTGAAAACTGATATTTCGAAATCATTGGGACTGAAAGGGAGAGTAAGAAAATTTAAGAAAAAGGAAAGGACATACAAAGAAGCTAAAGAAATACGTATTTTTTTCAACAGGGATGATAACACTAGAATGACAGCTGGCAAGAAAGAATGTGTTGGTAGAGGTAATGATAAATTACAGAAGCGATTCTTGCTTACTTCATTGAAGAAACTTTACACAAAATATGTAAGCGAGGGAGGAAAAGTCTCATTTTCAACTTTCAGAAGAAATAGGCCAAGAAATGTGGTACGGCCAAAGTTGAGTGATAGAAACACCGTTGCATGTATAAAGCACAGTAATTTAGCCTTCAAAGTTGCTCATTTAAAGAAAATTGGCGTTATAGGTACTTCCGATTTGCAAGAATTACTTGCATCGAGTGTGTGCAGCGTTGAATCGTACGACTGTATGTATTTAAATTGTGAAAAGTGTAAAGACAACAATCCTGAAATGAATTTGACAGATATTATAAACAATACAGAATGCACATGGATACAGTGGACTAGAAAGGAATTTACGTTTGAGAAGGGAATAGGAAGAAAAATTACTACTACAAAGAAATATGTTAAAGAAAGTATTAAGGGTACATTTTCAGAACTCAAAAAAATGTTTTTAGCTGATACTACGTGCATTCCGGCAGCATTTCTTTAATATAAATCATCAGCACAAAAAATATCGAGAAGTTATTGATAACCTACTACCCAATGAAGCAGCTCTAATAATAGATTTCTCAGAAAATTATTCCTGTAAATTAGGAGAAGAGATACAGGCTCTTCATTTCGGAGCATCAAAGGGCCAAATTACGATCCACACTGGCATGGCATATTTACAACAAAAAAGGTTCCTTTTGCTTCTCTGTCCGACTGTAACTTACATGACCCTGGAGCCATCAGAGCCCACATAGAACCTATAATTGAATTATTATTAACAAGCAATCCCGACATAGATACCATACATTTTTTCTCAGACGGTCCAAGTACGCAATATAAACAAAAAAAATTTTACCAGTTTACAGAGTTATGCAAAAAGTATAAATTAACTTTTGGAACCTGGACGTTTTTCGAAGCTGCGCACGGCAAGGGTGCTGCCGATGGAGTAGGTGGTGCTGTAAAAAGACTGCTGGATCAAAAAGTGGAATGTGGAAATGATGTTAGCTGTGCCGACGATGCTGTGTCTATTTTAACTGAAGAATCATCTGTTACAATATTTTCAGTCTCTGAAATTAATATTCGGGATGCACAGAACCAGATACCGAATGACTTGGATCCAGTACCACTTACTACTCGATTACATCAAATTACTTACCATGTTCCATAAACAACACTAAGGTACCGCAATGTCAGTTGTTTCTGTGAGTCATCTTTGCCAAGAGTGATTTGCGAATGCTACAACGCGAAAACTCACGTCCTGAAAAAACTATAGTCCACAAGATAAATTGTTCAACCAATGTTAGTAAAAAGATGCGCAACAATGAGGAAGCTGGGCAATTGAATGAACGCGGAGCAGTGCTGCCAGAAATTCCCGTGGTTTCACATGGAATATCAACCAATGACATTGATATTATACATGACGATGGTGGAATTTTTCAATCGAAAACAAAAGCAAGTAGTTGCATCATTCGGGAAACTGCTGGAACAAAAATTGTATTGATGGCAAAAAATCAGAACTCACTTAATATTAACACTAACGTCTTGACGACTGTAAAACAAAAACCCAAGATTATATCGCAAGTTATAATTCCGCCCTCAAAATGTACCCCAAAAATTGTTACCAATAATGAAAATAAAGAAAACTTATCATCTCTTAACACTAAAAACTATGACCGGCTTAAAAGAAAAACGAGAAAAGAGATTAAAAGAAAAGATAAGATGTTAAAAAGAAAAAAAGAAGAAGATGAATAAAGCAATAGTGACATCGCTATGAGTGTCCACAGTGATTCAGATATTTGCGACGTTGCTTCTGAATCAGATAGCCCGGAACAGATTTTAATATTATTAAATCAAAATCCAAAGGCTGCAAAAAAAATGTTAAAGTTAAAATTGAAAAGACTAAAACTTGCCTTATCCCAGATACTAGGTTGCATTTGAATAAACCAGTTGCTTTAGGGGCGAATCAAAATTTAGAACCACAGTCCTCTTCAAGTTCCAACTTAGAAACTGTTCCCATTGATTTAAAAAAATACGATTATGTATTGGTTAGATACTTTTTTAAAAAAAGAGTGGAATATTACAAGGTAAAAATATCTTTTTTAAGAAAAGTTGGCAAAAATGACAATACAAAATTTATTAAGACATAGTCAATGGAAGTAGAGCTAATAGATTGTAAGAATATTGTCAAGACTATAGAATTAATGTCGATCAATGTAAATGAGACTGATTTTGTATTTCTTGACGACGATGATGATATATATTTTGATTAAAGAATTACATAATTATCACTCAAGTTACCAGTTGTAATAAATATATTAAAGTTCCTTTTTAAGTAATAGTTCCTTTTTTTTGTTTTGTTATTTTCACCGCCTAAGTAATTGTTTTGAGTAGGTTGTAGTTTTTAAAGCATGTTTTCGGTGATGAACTTGTTAAAAATATATTTATTGATGTTAGCAGTTGTGTCAGTCTAACAATAAATAAAAATATGTACCTATTTGTTGTTTCAATGTGAAAGCATCCTATTATTCCTGTGAGTAACATTTTCTTATCAGGTGAGTAACGTTACTACCCGGACTTCATGTGAGTTGCGGTCGATTATTCTGACTTCTACACATATAATATCTAATATCTGCTATACTGCACGCCTCATAACGTAAATCGTTAAATTAGGTTGTGCCTACTCTCGACACGTCAAGGACAAGCAATTTTGTGGCCTTAAAATGCCTCTATCATAACCATATTGCACTTATACGATAATATGAGTAGCCGTATATCAAGAAAACACTCTAATTAATCCATGTTATATTTTCTAAAAAATCATTTGATATAGATACTTTGAAAAAAAAAACGGTTAGAATTTTTTTTAAGTGGACGTGCAGATGTTGATCTTGTACGATAACTCCCGAAAAAATTGACGTATCGGGACCGTGTTTTTATTAGCATTAGGATTATATCAACTAATTCCCTATTTTATATCAATAGCCTAGTGCGTAGTTTGTTGATAAAATGATTTTAAAGTTTTATCAACCAAAGAAAAAACGAAGGAGGTTCTCAAGTCGACGCGTATATTTTTTTATGTATGACCATACATATAAATTTAGATAAAAAAATGATCTTAAGGGTGGGAAAATAGGGTTAATTTATTGTTTACACACAGATTTTAATGCTGAGTTGTGTATTACAACATTACATAATAATTACATTACGTTACAAAAAAAACCTCACGATGAATGAGCTTTAGACCTATTTAGAGTCTGTTGTGTGTAGGCCTCTCTGTCCCTGCATTTCTGCTAAAGCTCATTCATCGTGAGGTTTGTGTAATATCTTATTTTTCTCTAAAGCAACATAACATAATAATATGTATTAAGTGTTTTTACTCTACTCGGTGCCACATATGGCTGCCCTTTGGCATGACACTTTCCGAGGTCGATTACAGCTTTAAACAAATAATAGTTAAAGTAGGACTATATAACAGTTTATAGCTAAATTAAGATAAGTAGCTATTTTAAAAGTAATCAAAAATTACGAAATAGAAATGATAAAATAAAAACTTTTTAACAAAAGAATTAAACCGTCGATATAACTGAAAAGAAAAAAAATAATAAACCCTTTTCTTTTACCTTAATAACTACGTTCTTAAAGTAATGTAAGTGTACCTAAGTATATAATTTTCTAATTATTTTGACTTTTTAATTAACCTTAATAACTAAGTTCCTTAAATAGTGTAAGTATACCTAAGTAATTTAGAGTCTAAGTTTTTCTTAAAAAGTTTTAAGTTTTATTCATTGAGCTATTATGTACTACGTACTAGAGGCGACACTGCATTCAGCTACTCTGTTCCACTCAACTGCGGTGCATGCACCGCACTTTAATCAGTCACAGTCATTCGCTAGGCGCTTGTAGAGTTGCCACGTGTTGTGTTGATTTGAAAAAATCGGGGAAGACCGGACGTCGCTAAAAATCGCAAATAAAAGTGATAGGGAAAGACCGGACAGACGAAAAAATTCAAAAATTACCTTGTTTTATAAAATACTGCGCAGCACACGCCCTACTTTTCGGAGCGGCCGGCTGAAACTTGGGGTCGCGGCAGAATAAAATGGAGTCTTGTACCATATTACTAGCTTTCAAAAATATAGCATAATTCACTGGAAATTTGAATTTTACGGTTTGACCCCATCACCGACCTTACCCCAATGCACTATATAAGTTATTATAATTAGGCTAATTTTTCATATTTAAATCTGCTTATTATTCTTTTATTTTATTTTTAGGTTTCCACGTCAAAGTGGAATAAATTCGTCCATTTTTAACTCTGGCGTGCCCAGCATTTATGAACGACTCTTATTCTAACTTAAATAAATATATTTGTAATTTAAATGCTATGTCAATAAGTTTTGTTAAATATACATTTAGTATTTCTTTTATATTTGACATAGATACCTTTTAAAATATTCAGATAAAAATATCATTATTAAAATGTAATTGTGATATAATATTATGTAATATTATATTAAATAAGCAAATTTAATATACAAAATAAATGACAAAACTTTAATATTGTTCTCGTTATAATTTACCTATTTAACAATACAATCTACTATTACCTACGAATCATTCTACCATATCATATATTCTATCATAAAAAAAACAACCGTGCGAACACAGAGTAGCGCACATTTTTTGTTTGAGATAGCTGTTCTAGCACGTATAGTGCCACCAACTTATCTGTTCAGGTGGACAAAATTGGAACTAAGGCCGCCATTTTGTAAATGACATTTCGCTGTCAGTTATTATTTATTCTGAGCTATCAGGTGAGTGTTTTTAAAAAGTGCAAATAAAATGCCTAAAGCTCTTAAAAGTGATGCGCGACAGATTATCCTAAAAGTTTTATCTTTTATGAAAGAAGAGAAACGTGTACAAGCCCCAATTATACCATTTGAAAAGCTGTATGAACGCGTTACTGCCGCGACAGGTTAGTATTGCCAGATATGGAAAATTAAAATCACCTAATAATGTACTTGTGAAACATAGTAAAAAAAATTCTCAATTTACTGTAATTCGTCTAAATTACCTAGCTTTGTAATTTGTGGTCTGTGAAGTAGCTATAGTGACGGCATATACACGGGCTTATATTTATTTAATTTTACCTATACAATAATTATTTGTCGTTTCGTTACAGGTGTTTCTGAGCGATTTGTACACAAACTCGTAAATGAAGAGAAACACGCTGAAGAATCAAATTCTAAAATTTCTACCCCTGGCAAAAAAGGCAAAGAAAAACCGGGAAACAAGAAGTTGATAATTTCGACATTGGTGTTATAAGAAGAAAAAATTCACGAATTTTATTCAGTGAAAAAAGAAATTCCTACCATACCCAAATTACTGAGTATTTTAAAAGAAGATATTGATTTCAAAGCAGAACGTGAAACTCTTCGAAAATTGCTTCACAAAATAGGATTTAGTTATAAGAAAACAAAATCAAACAGAAAAGTGTTGTATGAA